GTTTTAACTTTTAACCTATTGGCTGTTATGTTTCCTTGAAACAGGGAAGATCAGTGAATACGTATGATCTGAATGGAACCAAGTATCCTCTGGTTTATGGAAAATTTGCTGCTTTGAGTGCATGTAGCGAGGATAAGGCTAAGTAACTTCCTATCCAAGATATACTAAGTTTTTTTTGTGCCGAAATGATTTTACATTTCTACTTTGTGTTGAGATTATTCACTTTTTTTCAGGTTATGCGAGCCAAAGTGTTTAGATCGAAAACTCGTGAAAGGAAAGATTGTGTTGTGTGATTCTTCCAAAGGTCCAATAGAAGCTCAAAAACTAGGAGCTGTTGGATCTATTGCTAAGAACCCTGAACCAGACCGTGCTTTTATCCGCTCTTTCCCGGTCTCTTTTTTATCCGATGATGACTACAAATCCGTCGTCTCTTACATGAAATCCACAAAGTAACGGTTTTCTCTATGTTTTATATATATATGCTCCATACTTCAAATTCTCAATCTTATTGGTTTATGCGTGTGTGTACGTATGCGCAGAGATCCAAAAGCGAGTGTTCTGAAAAGTGAGGAAATTTATAATCAGAAAGCTCCTCTCGTTGCTTCTTTCTCTTCTCGCGGTCCAAGTAGCATCGTTCCAGATATTCTCAAGGTAATTAGTTAATGATCTTAGTGATCATTATTAGTCTCTTTTGTCTCCAGGTCTGAGATACAATGATTGATTTGAAATGCAGCCGGATATAACAGCACCAGGAGTGGAGATCCTCGCGGCCTATTCACCTGATAGTTCGCCAACTGAAAGCGAGTTCGACACTAGACGTGTAAAGTTCTCTGTTATGTCTGGAACTTCAATGGCTTGTCCACACATTGCAGGCGTCGCCGCCTATGTCAAGACTTTTAATCCTCAGTGGTCTCCTTCCATGATCCAATCTGCCATCATGACAACCGGTAAGCCAACTTAGTTCCAAATTTTTAACGGAGAAAAACAAACTTACTTGACATGCAAGAAACCTATTGACCTCCTAATCTTCTAGCTTGGCCGATGAATGCTTCTGGTCCTGGCTTTGTATCAACCGAGTTTGCTTATGGAGCTGGCCATGTGGACCCAATAGCTGCTATAAATCCTGGGCTCGTCTATGAATCTACTAAAGCTGATCACATCGCCTTTCTCTGCGGTTTAAACTACTCGAGTGAGAACTTAAGAATCATCTCTGGAGACAACAGCACTTGCTCGAAAGAACTTTCCAAGACATTACCAAGAAACCTCAACTATCCAACGATGTCGGCTAAAGTGTCTGGAACTGGACCGTTCAACGTAACTTTCCACAGAACTGTCACAAATGTTGGTACACCAAACTCTAAATACAAAGCAACGGTAGTCACAAGCCCCGGATCTAAACTCTGCATCAAAGTGTTGCCTAGTGCTCTGTCTATGAAGTCGGTGAACGAGAAGCAAACTTTCATGGTGACTGTCGCAGGGGATAATCTTGGAAGAAAACAACCTATGTCTGCAAACCTAATATGGTCTGATGGCAACCATAATGTTAGAAGCCCCATAGTTGTTTATGCTCTGAGCTAAATAAGTCTTAGGTCATTGAATGGGATAAGTCACCTTTTTTCTTGCTATGTTTATTCTTCTAACCAATCTGAATGCCTTCAAATCTCAAAAAATGATCGGCCCAAACATATATCACGTTATGGTTTTCCGTGAATGCACGAAACGTTATGGTGTTGGAAAAGTGATTCAAATTAGGCGAATTAATACAATAAGAGTTACTCCTTTTTTTTGTGCAAATACCATAAGTTACTTAACTTTCAATTTCTTAAAACGTTACTTAAACTTTTTAGTTTTAGTATCATAAATTCTTTAATTAGTTATCCGGTATCATAACTTTTCAATTAAAAACTGTGTTTTGTCCTTTATATATCCGTTATGAAAATGTAATAATTAATAATCTATTTATATCCATTAACTAAACGTCAACACATAAAAAACTATCTTGCTTGCGTTTTGTTCTCTTCTATATATATATCTACCAAAAAAGAAAAACATAGAAAACAACCAATTTTATCATTAAAAAAAAAAACGAAAAAACAATGAATAAGTTAATTATGTTCTTGTGTTTGGTTATGTTCTTGATGGTCACCACCTCGCAAGCATTTCACGATGGGAGAAAGGTATGGTCGAGATACACTATATATTAATTTTTGTTTCGTCAACGGGGTCTACCGTGCATTTTCTCAACCTTTTGCGGAGAATTGGAGTCAAACTCTCGAGCATATATATACATTATGTTTATATATTGATTAATTTGTTTTCCTGTTATAATTTTATATATAATGCTTAAGAGAGTAATTAAGGGTCTATCAATGCAGGTCTACATCGTTTACCTGGGGGCAATGTCGACACACAGGAGCTACCTCGCTATGAAACGTCACCATTTCTCATTGCTTCGTAGTATCATCGGAAGAAGGTAAACTATTCCATATCTAGGTCCCGGTTTAGAGCCAAGGCCGGTCAATCGATTAATCGAACCGCCCCGATTTTTATCTATATTCACCTATTCAATTATAACACTCATCATGTGTATATCTTCTTTATTTCTACTATACACAATCTGATTACTTTTTTTTTTTTGAAACTTTCACAATCTGATTACTTGATGTGTATATTTATTAATCAGATTCAGACCGGGTCTAATTGTCTCCAACTACTGGAAGACCTTCCATGGATTTGCCGCATGGCTCACTGAGGAAGAATGCAAGAGGCTTTCAGGTAGAAAAGTTACTAAATATTTTGTGAAAAATCAAGCAAAGCAAGAACAAAGTGGGATCTCATTTATGGTTTAATGTGGCAAAAGAAAATGTTTGAGTCACTATAACATATTGTGACTTAGGACTCGGCATTATAACCGAACCGAACCCAACCAAAATTATAATCCTAAGCCAATCGGTATAAAAAAATACACCAAACAAACCGCCAAACTAGAATTGGAATTAAGTCCAAGTTTTTTTTTTGTCAACTTAATTGAATCAGGCAAATATACTAAGATCTGAAATAAATATAATATAAATTAAATCATCCATTATTATTATTTTTTGTTTATAAAATGTCTGAAGTGGAAATATATCCAAGTTATTTATTATTTGAGAACATGGACTATTCAGCTCAGTGCTAATTGACTTTGAACCATGATTTCAAAAGATTTACCTGAAACGAGACTTAATGC